TCAATATTTCCCTTATGCAAGCATGCAAGCACAGTTCCGAACTATTTTCTTACTCAATGGAACCCTCCACGTCCCGTCCTCGGATGTCAGGGCTGACCTCAGCAAGTACAGGCCGCGTCGCCACCCCATATCACTGACACGCGAGCTTGCTGTTTAGACCCAGCCGCCGTCTTCTATCCCGCGCCACCTCACTTCAGTCTCTATCCTCACTCGCTCCCTCGCGTTCATGCCTACTTACTCACACACACTATCCCCCTTCTCTGTTTGTTTTTCTTGTACTCCCAGATCTCTCCATTGCGGCATCGGGCGACCCCAACCCACTATCAACACAGCCCCACACTTCCATTCTGACATAATCCGCACCGACAGGCAAACCAAACCCACTGTCACCCCTCGAACACCCCGCACTGATGCTCAACACGAAAATTTTCTTTTTCGCTCTTCCTCCTGGGGGGGGGGGGGGGGGGGGTTTGTCGATGATGATGGTATATGTATGAAATGGCTGTATATGTGAGTGATGGCCGGGATGCGACATGGCTATCCACCACCACGGACCTGGCTCTCCGGTCCTGCTCCAGCATCTACTGTATCTCGCTATCTCGTCTTTTCTTCCACCTTCTTTCCCAGTGTATCTTTCTAGTCGCATCGCCGTAGACGAGGCTAAGTTAGTCGAAGAGTTAAAGCCTTTAGCTGGAGGCTAAGCAAGTTTAGGGCCGGAAGATCTCCTTTTTCTTCTTCCTGCGCTTTTCCCCAGATAACGAGACGACGAGACGATATCAAGCAGAAGACGACGACGACGACGACGACGGGACGATAACTACTGAGAAGAGACGAAGACGAGGACGAGGAAGACGAGGAAGACGCAGATACTGCTGGATAGTGACAGGGAGAGCTCGCTTATCCTGGCCGGCCTCCGCATCAGCCGCCACTCGACGCTGCGACAGACCGCGAGCTGCGACGAGACTATACAGGACTATAAGAGACGAGGAGACGAGGCAGACGGCTGCAGAGGACAGAGAGGGACTGAGAGAGGGAGAGAATGGCCAATATGGACGGCTACGATGCGATGGCGCTGCCGTACATGGGCTCGCCGCTGCCCGCGATCTCGCACGGCGACTTCATGGCCCCGATGGCGCCCATGGAGATGCCGCAGCCCTCGCCCTACGACGAGGCGTTTCCCAGGTATCTACCTCTGTCTGTCTGTTTATGTGCTATTAGTATGCTACATGTAATTGTGTGTGTGTATGGTCTAACCTGGGTAGTGCCGACGAGATGAGCTACTCGCAGCAGCCGATGATGCGGCGGTTCTCGAGCAGCCAGTTCGAGGAGCCCTTCCCTGAGATCGCAGACATGATTCCCGCGGCGCCGTTTGATGTCGACATGCAGCAGCAGCAGCAGCAGCATCAGGTACAGCATCGGCAGCAGATACAACCCCAGCAGCAGCAGCAACAACAACTTCAACCACAGCAAGGACAAGGGACGGAGGAGGACTCGATAGACCACGGCCACAAGCTGCTGTCCTTCTCGGTGCCGGCATACAACTTTACTCTACTGGACTACTCGCTACGACGGACCTCGCTGAACATGACGGCGCAGCTACACGGGATGTTCTTCCTGGCCGAATCGAGCTGGTCGGCCTCTCCCGGCGGCGACACACCAGTGACCGTCAACACGGCCGCCGCACCCGCCGTAGGGATGGGCATGGGAGTGGGCGTGGGCGTTGGACCGGCGGAGCTGACCTGCTACCGGCGGAATCTGTTCCAGATCACAGGCTCGGTGACGCTGCCGCGGACACTGCGGTATATCATGACGGAACAGGGCGACCGCATACCGATTCTGGCGCAGGAACTGACGGTCTCCGCCACGGAGTCGGTGGAAGGCAACCCGGTCAAAATCATCTCGGTGCCGTGGAAGACTCCGGCGGGCGGTGCTTCCGCCAATGCATCGGGGAGTGCTGGCGGCGGTAGTGCCGGCGGCATGGTAGAAGACAAGACGGAAAAGGAGCCTGCGCCGGTCGTGCTGGATACCATGGGCGGGCAGGACGCAGACGCAGACTTTGCTACCTTCTCGATTGCGTGGAAGCGGCTGCAGTTCCGGATAGCGACCGCCAACAACGGGCGGCGGCGGGAGCTGCAGCAGCATTTTGTGCTGAGGCTGAAGATCGTGGCGACGCTGTCGACGGGCGCGAAGATCTCGATATGCGAGAGCCAGTCGGGCCCGATCATCGTGCGAGGCCGGAGTCCGCGCAATTTCCAGTCGAGAAAGGATGTGCCCCTGAGCGGCAGCGCGGCGGCCTCGAGGAAGAACACGCAGGCCGCAGCTCTCGCGCGGGCCAGCGCAGGCACTCCCAGCGCCCATAATGCCGGGAGTGCAACAGTCAAGAGGACTTCGCCGGTCAAGACGGAGGAGAGGGCGGCCGTTACGTCTGATTCCGCGGCGGCGGCGGCGGCGGAGGAGGAGGAGGAGGAGGAGAGCCGGTCGAGCAAGCGACGACGGCTGAGCTCCGGGATCCCGCCCATCACGCTGACCTTCAACGACGAGGAGGCCAGCTCGCCGCACTCGCTCCCTATCCCCGAGCTGGAGCAGCAGCTGGAGCAGCCCGAGCGGAAGAGATCTGCATCCCATTACAACGGCCACCACCGTCACCAACACCCCCTGAACGAGCAGCACCAACACCAACACCAGCACCAAAGTAGCCACCAAAGTAGCCACCAAAGTAGCCACCAAAGTAGCCACCTTCCGGCTATCATGGGCGAGGCGGAGGACAGGGCCGACGTGCTGTACGAGTACTTCCCGCTGGCGCTGGAGGAGTGGCAGACGCCCGTCGACGCCGTCTACCGGCCGCACGTCGTCCACCACACCGCGCTGGCCGCCCGCCGGAGCAGAGTCTACTTTGAATCATAGCATCCCGAGCAACCCACATCTGCGTTCTCTTGCTGTTCTGTACATATCAAAATAGCTAATCAATATCTATCCTGTTTGCCTGCCAACACCCCCTGAAGCCGCCCGCTGCGACACTACGCAACACTAACGCTGCGACTGCGACTCTGGCTCGCCCATGTTACATCCTTACTAAGGCCAACCTTGCAATGCTACTCGCCTGCGTCTATGGAGCTGCAGTGCTAGTCGATAATGCGTAGTATGCGTGCTCGCCGTGCTCTCTGTGTATGTATGTCGGCGGGCGTGCTGGGGGTGATGTTGTATGTCTCTCAACGCCCGCATCGCAGCTCTCGATGTCACCCTGCGGCCTCCACTCTCGTTGCTTTTCGTCGTCTTTTATTCTTCTTCTTCTCTCTTCTTTTATTCTTATTCTTTTATTCTCTCTTATCGCCTGTCTTGGGCGTCTTCACCATGAGCGCGGCCAGTTACACCCGCTCGTCCCCTGCACCACCGCATAGCACTGCACAGCCTATATAGATACCAGACTCTCTTCTTCCCTCTGTTTGCCTGTCTATCTGCCTGTCCATCAGCTTGCCTGTCTATCAGTTGCCTGTATCATTGTCTGTATCATTGTCTGTATCATTTGTCTGTCTATCAAAATGGGCAAAGGCACCCTCGAGCAGGTCGCCCTGCGCCTCCGCCAGCTCTTCGACAGCCTCCTCTCCGTCCTCCAGCGCCTCCTCCGCCTCCCCCAGACGCAAAGGACACAGACAAAGACATCCAAGACGTGCGAGAAGCGGCCGTCGTCCCGGCGATGCAAGCGCTCCCTCGATGACCTCGCCGCCGACGTCCAGCGCCAGTTCACCGCCCACCTGTCGACCGCCCGCCTCGCCGCGATGGCCGCCGGCATCCGCCTGCAGCTCGACCGCTGTGCAAAGTCCTCGCCCGTCTGCATGCTGCCCTCCTTCAACCATGCTCTGCCCTCCGGCGGCGAGCGCGGGACCTTCCTGGCCCTCGACGTCGGCGGCTCGACCTTCAGAGTCGCCCTCGTCGAGCTCGCCGGCCGCGGCGCCATGCACATCCGCCGCATCGCCTCCTCCGCCATCGACGAGCAGGTCAAGCTGCTCGAGGGCCGGGCGTTCTTCGACTGGATCGCCCTGCGCATCCTCGACATGCTGCACGACCACGGCGAGGGCGCGGGCGAGGGCGAGGGCTACGGGCGGGATTCGTCTTCGCCGCTGCCCATGGGCCTCTCCTGGTCGTTCCCCATCGACCAGACCTCCATCCGCTCCGGCCTCGTGCTCAGCATGGGCAAGGGCTTCCTCTGCTCCAACGGCACCGTCGGCGAAGACCTGGGCGACCTGATCATGGCCGCGTGCAGGAAACACCAGCTCAACGTCCGCATCGAGGCCATCGTCAACGACAGCTCGGCCACCTTGCTCTCGCGCGCCTACATCGACCCGTCAACCCGCATGTCCCTCATCCTCGGCACCGGCACTAACGTCGCCATCCACTACCCTACCCGGGCCATTGGCCGCGAGAAGTTCGGCGACAGGCCCGCGTCGTGGTTCGACCAGGCCAGCCATGTCATCATCAACACCGAGATGAGCATGTTTGGCGGCGGCGGCGTGCTGCCCATGACCCGCTGGGACGACGACCTCAACCGCGCCCACATCAAGCCGGACTACCAGCCCCTCGAGTATCTCGTTACCGGCCGCTATATCGGCGAGATCGTGCGCCTCATCATCGTCGAGGCCGTGGCCGTCTCGGGCCTGTTTGCCGGCGACCTGCCGGCCTCTCTGCGTCTGCCGTACTCCCTCGACACAGCCATAGTAGCCTGCATCGAGGCCGATACCTCCCCGGCCCTCGACAAGTCAGCAGCCATGTTGACCGCCAGCCATGCATTTGCCGTGGCCCCTTCGACGGCAGACATGCAGTTTCTGCAGACCGTCTGCAAGTGTGTCTCCAGGCGGGGGGCCGCATACCTCGCTACAGCCATATACTCTCTCTGGCGTCTAAGCAACGAGAGCGAGTCCCCTGCCTCCTCGCCCGGACAGACTCGAGACGACCTCCTGCTCACCAAGGACCTCATCAGCACAACCGACCTCGAGGTAGGACATGCAGTGACCATTGACCTGCGACCGAAACCGTCCATCAAACAGTATCGCGGGTTTCCGAGCACTTGCCAAGGACAATCTACAC